CTCTATTTCTCTTGTGCTGTGTGCCTGTTTTTGTAGAGATATAATTTTTTATTATTATTTTTCTTTGTGTGTGGGGGGGGTGGGGATGGGTACTGCCAGCAGACTGAAGAAGTGGCTGACATCAACAAATCTACCAGTGGCTAAAGGCTGGACAGAGGTGTGTGATTGTATCATGGCAGCACAAGAACAGGCCCTCAGCACAAGAGAAATAGAGGATGTGCTCTACCATACTAGACGAGACCAAAGATGCAGGCGGTGCAAAGATGTATCTGCGAGAGTCCTACACACAATAGCAGTGCGTGAGATCCAGGCAGGCAAAGAATACATGTATACAACACCTCAACCAAGTGGCTGGAGAAGTGTACAGGAACATCTGTGCCAAGTATGAACTGTCGGTCAGAGTTTCTGTATTTGTCATTCCCACCACATGTGGTACATGTGGTGGAATGAAATTGTGTAAACAGGGTCCCAGATACATCCAACAATAAAGTGTAAAATTTAAAAAAAAGTAATACGATCTAAGATATGAACTAATAAAAGCATTAAGATATACGATGGTTGGACTGGAGGTCCGACAGTCAAAGAGAGATAATTCACCAAGGATGATGGAGAATGGCATGACTAAGATACTGTGAGACTTCCAGATCCAGACTGACAAACACGTTTTGACTAATGAACTGGACCATATGGTGGCTGACATGTTTGTAACTGATTCCAATAAATAAAATGTGATTCCAATAAATTATAGTGCCATTTTCACTGATCTACAACCTGCTGAATTGCTGTTGAGTCATCTCATAATTCCTATGGAAAAATTAATTCTGGGGAGATTATGATGTTCATTAAAGGACTCCCGAGCTCATAGGACCTTCAGAATGTCCTACAAAATTTACTCTTAATTTCCTCTGTGTGCTCCTCAGACTGATGAAGCCCTTCGGATCGAGGGCAAAACATACCTCTCTCAAAACAAACAAACAAAAAAAAAAAAAAAACTGTCCAGATTGCCTGACTGAACATTGTTGGATTACCTGGATTACTGAGCATGAACCTTGATGAACTCTTCAAGTAGCTTTTCTTGGGGCTATCAGAACTATTTTACAACAGTCATTTGGGTTTGAAGCACTGGTGAAGGCTGCAGCGAAGGAATTAGATAAATTCTGCTTTTGTGGATGTTTCAGAGCAAACCGATACATAAAGGCATAGAAGCAGCATGCAGGCCTCATCGGTTCACCTGATCCAGCCTTTCAGCACAACATAATCATGCTATTTATAAAAGTGCTTTGGGGTTACCATTATAATGTATTAGTTGAAAGTCTATATACAGTTTCCTATTTTTTAAACTTAAGCCGTTATCCAACAAAAAAAAAGAAAAAAAAAAAGAGTGAAATGTGTGGGATTTTTGCAAGTATTAATTAAGAGAAAAGTAAGAGGGGAAGCTGCTGTAGTAGGAATAATGATGACAGGAAAATAAAGAAAAATAATAGATAAAAATGCTAACATTGAGGCAGAAAATATATGCAAAGTTGTGATAAAAATCAATTATATTTAGATGTCAAACAAAGCAAGAAAAATCAAAACGAGAGACGTGCTAATCTCAAGAAGCAAATCTCAAAAAGTTTAATGAAAGTCATTTCCCAAAACAAACAATCCAATAAGCAGCAGTAACAAACAAAAGCAATGGCACCAAACTGAGTGTGAACAACTTTCAGTGCAAAGTGATTTGTTATACCACACAAAGAAATAGGTCCTAATGTCAGAAGTTTGCATCATCATTGCATTTGTATACACATTTAATGGCCACTTTTAATGGCCTGTAAGTTGGAGGATATTGACAATGTTTAATCATTTAGTCTGCACTATACTTTTTGTTTATTGTAATAACATGAAGGGCAGATGTGTCTGAGTGGTTAGAACAGTCGTCCTCCAATGCAAGAGTTGGGGGTTCGAATCCACCGGCAGTCACATGCCGAAGTGTCCCTGGGCAAGACACTGAACCCCTCATTGTTTCCGATGTGTGTCCCATTGGTGTATGAATGTGATCTCAAAAAGGGCAGCACAGTGGCGCAACTGGTAGAGCTGCTGCCTTTCAGCGAGCAGGTTCCTGGTTCAAATCCCGGTCTGGGGGCCTTTCTGGGAGGAGTTTGCATGTTCTCTCCGTGCATGCATGGGTTTTCTCCAGGTACTCTGGTTTCCTTCCACAGACCAAAAACATGCATGTTAGGCTAATTGGTAACTCTAAATTGTTCCTAGGTGTGAGTGAGAGTGTGAATGGTTGTTTGTCTCATTTGTCTCTATGTGGCCCTGTGATGGACTTGTGACCTGTCCAGGATGTACCCTGCCCTCGCACAGTGATTACTGAACATGAGCACTGGCAACCCGCGTGACCCAAAAATGAAAGAAGCGGATAAAAGATAATGGATGGATGGTAATAACATGAAAAATTAAAACTGTCATGATTTCAATGACAGGGCTTTAATACA